TTTGATCTCATCCATGAGTCGGCCTCAAGGGCCTTTGATTCTATTATCATGAAAAACTACATCACATATTTTCACTTTTAGGATTTTGTGGACAGTTCGGTAGATTCACTCCCCCTATGCAGCTCTGCATATGAAGCCGAAAACTCGGGTAGGTACAGTAAAGTTGTTAAAAATCTCTCCCGTTTTGATTTTACTCCACACATAGACACACTGTGTTCAAAATTTCTTGAAGGAACTCGTAAATGGGTATTGGAACAAATCCGTGCTTGGTTTAATGACACCTCGTGTGAAAATCGTGTGTTTATAATCAGGGGTGAACCAGGGATGGGGAAGTCCGTCATTGCAGCTGTAGTCTCTCACGAAATGGCTGCCCAGCTTGCTGCCTCTCACTACTTTCAGTATGATAACACTAGATATAACAATACGTGTCTATTTCTTCAATCTTTAGCGCTACAGATGTGCGGCGTGATACCAGGTTTTAAACAAGCACTGACAAACCAGGTTTTTGAAAACTTTCGCTACGATTTTAACGAAAAGAGTGCGGAGAATTTATTCACATTACTCTTTGCACACACGTTCTCAGAAATGAGTGATCCTGGTAGTGGAATCTTCCTTATCGTTATTGATGGTATTCATGACATAGAAAGTAGTTCACAGAAAGAGTTTGTAGATTTAATTTCTAATCATTTTCACAAACTTCCTAACTTTATACGTTTTCTTATTACCACAAGCTCAGAGGAAAAAATTGAAAATCTAAATCCATTGTATCTTGAAATTGATGAAGAAATGAATAGAAAAGATTTGAAAATTTTCATAAAAAGTCAACTACCACAATCTATACTCGATAGAGAATTAGTTGTACCACAATTAGTCGAGCTTTCAGGGGACCTGATGTTAAACGCACGATTTCTTTGCGAAATCATTCTTTCTCAATGCGAATCCGAAAAATATGTCTTACCCAAAACGTCTGAAAAGGTTTTCCAACAGTATTTTACAATGCTAGAAAATAAATGGGAAAATATTACAAATTTTAGTAGAGAGACCTTTGTTTCCCTTCTAAGCGTCTTGCTAGTTGCCAGAGAGCCATTACCTATTGCTTTTCTTGAAACCGCTGTTCTCGATAAATTTGATGTCCCACCATGCAACTTGAATTCGATCTTGTTAAAAGCATTAAGTTACATATCGTCACTGTTTATTATGAATGAAGATCACATTTGTTTCATCCATAAGTCGGTTAAAGATTGGCTTGTTCATCATTATAATGTAGATTCTCAATATGGTCATAAAATTCTTGCAAAGGTTTGCGTTGAATACCTTGACAATGTTAAGAATTTCAGAATTAAGACGAGAACTTTGTTTAGCACCGCCAAGGTAGATTTTGCATTACGACATTGTATTTATCATATGCTTCAAGAACGGGATAAGTATATCAACTTTGTTACTACTTATGCGGTTGACTTGTATGTTTTGTATGCCAGTATTTGTGTTAACATCGACACCGCCATTGAGAATTTTGATATTATTATAAATCATGAAGAATACGAAAGCTTGTGTGATCAAACTAAGGAGAATCTTAATCAACTGTTGCAATTATTGCTTACGTTTCAATTTGTTTTGAGAAAACGTCCGCACTCATTCTTCCAACTTGTAATAAATGAAACCACCCACGATCTTTCTTCTAACGCATCAGAATTCCTGAAATCTTTCAAAAAGTTCCAATATTTTGAGGTGGTAAGACATGGGCCGGAAACGATTCAGGAATACTTTGAATGTAGTGCATTTCCGTACACTAGTATTGACGTTTCTTATCAAACTAATAACGTTGTTCTTTGCTTGAAGGTAAGTGATCAAATATATGTCATCCAACTGGTTTCGACAAATCCTTTTAAAATCCTGTGGACGACAGAAGAACTTAGCAATGACCAGATTTGCAGTTCTTGTATTACTTTTCTTCCTTCTACGGACGTTATATTACCGGGTCACTTGATCAGGTTCTATCGTTGACTGATGGGTCTTGGCAACAAGGACCATTTTCCTGTGATGGAAAATGCTTTTTTACTAATTGTTGTTTTTCTCCAGATTACACTATGATGGTCACAACGTGTGTTGACAGTAGTTTACTTGTCTGGGATTTGGTAAACGCAGTCAAAGTGAAAAATATTGAATGTCCAAGTGTTCCTAATTCATTTTCGTTTTCTGCTAGTGGTAATTTCCTTGCTGCCGTAGGTACTTCTTCCATTTTGGTGCACGATGTAGAGAATGATTTCATGATTAAAGAGACAGTCTCGTTACAGACATTAAGATTCCGTGACCATGCCAAATTAATCTGTACCTTCAGGTCAGATGCATGGCTGCTTGAGACAGATAATTCGGACATTTATGTAATATGTTCGGACGGCTCAACCTCTCGCGGACATCCATTAGTAAATCTGAAAGAGTTATATTTGCCGCATAATTCGAAAGCCTTAACAGACTGCAATGGAGTCTCTAATTTTGGTTACAAAACGTCCTGGATTACTGAAGCTCGAAAAAGTTACGTTAAAAAGGAGGGTGGGAATATCGCTTTAGATCGCTGTACGTTTATCCCACTTGATGACAACAATGCTTTGGCCATCTCAAATTCGAATGAAGAATCCCAATCTACGTGTTTGCTGCGAGTTGATTTGTCAAAGTTTAAAAATGTTAAAAGTTATATTTCACGTGATAGTACCATTATCTATCAGCACGATCCAAACTCGCAGAAATTTAGCATTTTGAGGTTTTTGAATGGAGAATGGCAATTTTCAGAAAAATTTGTGAAACCAGTGATTGCATTTGCTGTTGTTTTAAGTGGCGTTTTCTTAGTAACAAGCAGCACAGAGTTAGAATTTTGGAATACTGATTGTTCCAATTGTCTTAAGAGCTTTCCGCAAGCAAGTAAGATAAACCGATGTGAAACGGTGTCGAAGCACACCATAGCTTGTATTACAGAATGTGAGGTTAATTTTATTGATAGCCGAAATGAAGAAGTAGTATCAACTACGTCACTTTCCCCAAACGAGGATGTGTTCGCGTGCAGTAGTAAGTATGACGTTGTAGTTATCGAACTACATTCTTGGCCTACAGTGGTATTTCTTGTAAGAAATAACGAAAGGGTAGGTACATTTGATGTATATTTTGACATGTACAAAGCAGTATACTCGCCTGATGCGAGAATGTTAGTTGTTGCAAGTGTTGGTGGGGATATAAGTATCCTTGACATTGATAACCTTAAATATTTTTCATGGATGAGTAGTTTCTCGTTAATATTGTCCGATGGTATTCATTTTGTCAACGATATGTATTTTGTATATGGAGAACGTATAAAGAAACGGTATTTGCTTTATTTGTGTGATGATTGTAAAATTGTGTCATGTTTTTCCTTTAAAGACGAGCCTAAAGCAATATCAATGAATCCTGAAATTCAAACTCTTGTCGTCAGCTTTCAGGCTTCCCGCTTTACAGAGTTCAAAATTCATTTGCCAGAATGGAAACGGTAATGTATACTTCTACCGTATACAAAGGACATTCACATGAAATGAATATAGAATAGATGTGCGAATTTAATAGAATAGTGAATAGTTAATAATTGTATTCACCTCAGTGTCAGTGAACAGTGCGTGGACATTCCCCTGAATGTGCTTTATATAAATCATATGAGAATTACGTATCTTGAAATCAACTTGGACAATGCATGCGAAAAATGCATACTCAATTGAAGAAAATACTCGTCTATACAAATTGTGTAAAGACGTGACTTCGGCCAAAAAGTTTTGTGATCAGTTATCTTCATATTTAGCCCTTCTGGGATTAAAATTCAAAAGAACACTCCTACCAAAACTCACTACACTCCTACTCGCTTAGCTGGGCTGGTTCATCAGTATGAACACAAATTGATTTTTTTTATGCTAGCTATAGGCTCGTATGAACAGTCCCTTTCATCCAACATCGTCCGAAATTATTGGACTGATTGGAACGAGTCTCGAGTTTGATATTTCGTGCATGAAACTGCCACGTTCAAATGTTTTCGTTTTCAATGTCGATGAGTTCGATTATCACAAGCCGTTCATATGTTATCAGTATGATAATCAAGCAAAAACAAAGCCCTCAAAAAAACCGGCTGGCTGCATGGTTTCATTGTTGTTGTTTTTTGCAAACATATTACAAACCAAACTTGATGGCAAGTTTTCATATTTGTCTACATTTGAGGTAAATGCTAACCTAAAATGAAAATGTTGGCCTAATGGACCTCTAGAAGTGCTTACGTCTCGTAATTTTCAAACATTGAATTGTCGACTCAAAAGTATCCCACAATGCACTCTGCATTCCAGAAGTCCTCTGTATTAAAAGATGTGCGACGTAAGCAATTCTAAGGTCTTTTGGGGAGAAGTGTTGAGATGATTTAAAAATCCTGTTTACAAATTCTCTCAAACTATCTTAATTTATCAGATATTTTGAACCAAAACATCCTGGCATCCGCCATTTTGTTTTATAATTAGGTCTAATAAAATAGGGAGCGACGTATTTGTCAACACGGACGTCCGGCAGATTGCTGACTGGATCAAAAAACTGCATGTTTGTGTCAATTTGTGGTAATCTTTGACACATATGACAAAACATAAGATTTTAAAAGTTTTTTACTTCCTTACACGAGCGCTATGAAGCAAAATGCAAGCAAAATTAGTTATACCAATTTTCAGGTGACGTCCGTGTTGACAAAAACGTCACTTGCAGCCAATGCTTGCAGCTCACTAATGACGTCACAACCGGGTGGGCATCTTAAAACTAAAAAATAATATCAGTGGGAAGTTTATATATAGCTTGTGCTTTAATTTAAAACAGACTATAGTAAAAAAATTACCTGAGAAAATAATGTCACCCTGGTTGTGACGCCACGCGTATCCGACGATAGATATGCATATCCAAGATGGCGGAATGCATATAAGCATTTTGTTTTGAAATGAAGTATAATATCTGTTATACCAAGAACGATAAAGAAAATTCTGTTTGAAGGTTTTACTAAAAAAAAGTTATCAGTGTTGGTAAAAATATAATGGCAAATTGTTGTACAGATCTATTGTTAGTGTGCCTAGTACTGTATGTCAAACGAAATTTCACCCCAGGTTTTTTATGCTGTCAATTTAAATAAAACTTAAATGATTTAAATAAGCCTTCCTTGCGAAGAATATTTGATCCCTTTGACTTTAATAATGAAGTAAGTGATAAAACATGACGGCCAAACCAGTCACAAATTGTTACTGAGGGGACATGCATTTCGAGCTTAGGATTAACAAAATAATGGTTTGATAACAACTAATCAGGATCGCGTGATTGCCAACTCCATGGCACTCTCGTGGCTCTTTTGATCCGGGTCATACGCACATGAATGTTTATCGGTTATTTTGAAGATTGTTAAATTCTAAAAGCTGTCTTGCCTGAAAAAAGTCGAAAGACGGAATCTCTATCAGATTTGCAAACATTGTTCAAATTAGCCGGCAATTGTTTTGAATCTCCTGGATGAATTAAAAACGCCTGGATGAATTAAAAACTGGGGTGAAGTTTCGTTGCATACGCAGTTGAAAGTCAACGCATACAGCTTATATCAGTCTCGAATGAACGATTAGAACATGGTCATTGACAATAACGACGATGCATAAAACTGAAGTGGTTCAGACAGCACGGTTGAATACGAGTATGGAAACTCGGAAACTTCAAATCGTTCGTCCATTATACGATTTTATGTTCAGGCCACGTCATTTGCCTCCTGTTAAAAACTCTCCCGCAAGTTAATTTGAATAAACAACAACAAAAAGATAGAACAAGTGAAATCCTTCACTCTAGTTTGCAGACCATATCTTGATTGGCTGCGATAAATACTGCCAGCATACATTGCAGTTGTTAGATGATCAACTCATTCATCGACCCTCAAATTAACGAACACAATGAATGTGTTTATGGACTATGTTGCTACTCATTATGAATGGAACTTTTAAAACAATTGCTTGATAAAAGGTACATGTGTGACAGTTCCTGCCAAACACCTCCCAATTTTGCTTCGGACCTCGTCAATGCCGTGCGCATTTGGGCCCTATATATAGTACATGCCGTATCCTGAAGGCCGAAATGTTTACGGAAATCCATACTCATGGTGATGTATTCATCGCATCTTGGTAAAACGATCAGAAAGAAGACGTGCATTCGGCCAAAGTTACATCAAGCGCTTCCTTAATGTAATTTGTAGAGATAGACTACTGGTAAACGTGGTGCATTAAAGGATATTATTTTACTACTACTGGAGTACTATATACTAAGCCTTTCAAGTTTGCCTTTGAGTACCTTGAACTAACGAATGACGTCACAAATCATTTTACAAAGGAGTTGTTATTGTGCGGAGATAATCATTTTCTTCATAATTTCGGAAGAGCTAGATTAAAAAGAGCTTTAATTAAAGACGAAATGAAGTACATTAAATCTACTACTTCTCAGAGTTAATAATAACACGAGAAACAAACATTCCGGTAGAATCACAGACTGTAGCATTATATAATTATATTGTCCCAGCCATTCAATAATTAGACATGGCACGTTACAGTGAACAGTCTAGGACGTTAGGAAGAATTTCTACTTACTTTAAAACTGCATCACTTGAAGGGGATGTGCAAGGCCAAGGGAAACGAGTATCGAATCAGTGATAAATACTTCATGCCAAGGAATGGAAGAAATATAAATGAAATATCGGTACAAATGAGACAAAATTTTATGCAGTTGCCAATAAAATTGCAAGATTATAGTTTTCTGATACACTTTGTGGAAAACGTATGGTATTGATGAAAATGTATCACGTACTCATGATAAATAATAGTAAAACTTTAGTCTTGGGTGTATGTTTTCATCGGCCAGGAATGACAATATTATAGTAGGAATCCGATATTTGGAACAAGGAAGTAAATGGCAGTAATGATGCAGTAGTATAGTTCATTGTTGAAAATGGACTTTAGCCAAAATTTCGTGATTTATGAAGAAATTGTTATGGAAGAAGAGCATATAATTACGAGGCCGCCAATTTCGGCATGCGCCAATAAGGGTGCAAATCGTCTTTGACCAAAGTCGAAGATGCGAAGTATTTTACGAAGATATTGACAACCTGGCGAGGTCATGGAATTGTGATACAGAAAAACGTAACGCTTTTGGAGCAATTGCCTTTAAGTTTGCAGTTTTGTAAATTGCAATAGGTCGTGGCTCATGGCTAAAAATCGTCCTTGGCCAAAGTATTTTACGAAGTAGCTATTTGGGAGCCTTGTGGGTAAGACACCTACATAAACGCAGTATTTATCTAGTTTGTATCCAGTTTGTTTAGTCATGAACAAAGCATCTGACATGTATGGACATTAATTGTCTGTGGGTGGTAAAATATTGAAGCAGAATGTAGGTGATTACCACTTATATTGACTGAGACCTAGGGGAACAATTATAGTTTTCTGGACCTGAAACAGCCATACAGTGTTTCGGAAACCGAAAGTGTGTTCCCGAATGTCCCAGTCAATAAGTATTTTATTATATAGCAAGTGTCAAAGAAAACCAGAAAAACGAGAAAGCTCCATAAATTTCGCTCCATAAGGCATAACTTTCCAATTTCATTATTCACCGGCGAGCAAAAGCATTCTTTACCAGGAGACAGTCGGATTTCATGGCTCATGTGACACGCTCTCGTCCAACGAGATGCAAGAATGCATGAGCTTTGACACTTGATATATCTGATTGCCTGGGTAGTCTCCATAAAATATAAAAACAATTAAACTTTTTTGTACAATGACATAAGATCGTGTTAAAATTAGTAGAAATAAAAAGTATATAAATTCCCAAAGATCATATGCCAAATGTTGTCGATTTCATCCACACCTAATGATAATAATTCATGAGGAAAATACAAAGGTTTTTAAGCACGTTAAAACATTCGCATCCGATCTTTACCTGATATACAAACTCTCGCCTTCGGCTGCAGTTTGTATATCAGATAAAGATCGCTGCTCATGTTTTAGGCCCCGATTACACTATACCGGATTGCATCGAAGCGACGCGATTTCTGTACCGGATTGGCCTCTTGTTTACACTACGCCACTGTAATCCGGTACGTGCCGCGGCGCGAAAATCACTTCGCTTTGGAGGTGATATGA